CAAAAGGTGATATTCGTAATCACCGTGAAATTTTGCATCGAATGATATAGTTTTAAGTGAAAAATAAGAACTTGCAATTCTTTTGAATTAGCGGCGCCTTACTATTAAAAATGTATTTTTAAATATAACGTGTGAACATTATCTTCAAAATTATGCAGATAAAAAATCTGCAGCTGATTATAAAAATTAGTGTTGTTCGATTTTGGATAAAGTTGAATGTCCGGATTTAAAAAATGAAAATCGATATGCAAAACCATGGGTAACTTACCCACCTAAGTTAGGTTTCCTGCATGGTAGAGAGACATACGAATGAATTTTCACCAACAAAATCGGATCCAATTTGAGCTTTTTAACCGTAACAATCATATCCTCCCGATAAAAATGGAGCTAGTTCGGTTTACTTCTCGGATTTTTCGTTATAAATAAACAAAGCGAACAGATAGGTAAATCGTCGATCAAAGGACAAAATATAATAAAAAAAAGTCAAGCACAAGCTAAAGAAAGACGAAAATCTTTATTATTCAGTAAATCTCAAAATAATAATGAAAAAACAAGAACATGATTAATGCCCAGATCAAAAGAACAACATGTTGTGTTAAGTTCTCAATCTGCTCGATCGTCATCATTGACAATGATGTTGACTTAACAACAAATGTAATCCAAGACAACGATGAGTGTCTGCTCCTACAAATTGATAATGAGATAGAAATATTGAGTATGCTGTTTTTACAAATCTTATTTTTACGGTTTTCCACTAGGAGAAGAATTTTTCCTGCATCTTCATCGGATAGGTAACAGTCTTTTACCCACAACGGGGCAGGGGAATTCATACAACTCTATATTGATAAAATTTTCAAGATTAGCAGAAAGAATTCAGAAACTAGCTTCGAACTTTTTTCAAGTTATGAAATTTCAAAAATTCAGAATAATTTTTCTTAATTCGAGACTTCAGAAATTGGAATCACCTTTTTCCAATTTGAGAAATATTCAAGGATTCAGAAATAAACATCAAGCTTTTTCTGAATTTATGAATTCAACAATTCAGAGACATATTTTATTTTTTTCAATTCAAACGATACAAAACAGATACACGAACAAATACTAACTTCTATCTCTATCATCCTGAGATTTTTGACTGCTTTTAACGTTGGGATGCGTCTCACTTCATTTCTTTTGTTATTGTATTTTTCACGTAAAATATGTAATCTTTATAACCATCAACAAATAATTTTATTACATACCTTCGATGTACCTGGTTGTTTTTCTGCTGCTGTTTTTGAACTTGTTCTATCATGTGATGATGATGTAAAACCCAATCGATGTTTTGTAACACGAGCAGAAGTAAGTCTAAAATAATAAGAGCAGATCGGCTTGTCCAAACGTAACGCTGTTACGTTTTGACACACTTTTTCTCAATTATCTCTAAAAGTTTAAGAGCTAGAATGTTCGTTCAAACGCCATTCGACGCATCTCATCATACTCTATGTATGCTATAAAAACGAAACTTTTGGTTGAAGTCTGGAGCTTCGAGAAAGGTTTTTATGAAAAAAAGCAAAAAAACAAACGTACCGCTGTTATACATTTTTTTGTCACACCATTCTAGGACACTCAACGTTCTTCAGACAACTTCATACTTATAGCTTGAGTACTTCTAGCCTTCCTGAAGATACTCCACTTGCAAACAAAGTACCAAAAGGTGCCTCAGGCTTTGAAATCGAGTCGGGAGTTCAAACTTGAGTTGAACTCCCAGCTCAAGAATTAATTGAAGATATTAACGATTGTATTTATATTGCTGCTCATAATAGTTCTCAATCGATAACATTAAGTGGTGATCAAAGGATTTTAGAAAATTTATATGAAATACTTAATATTTTACATCGGAAAATATTTAAATCGTGGTTGATAATAGAAAATGTATTTCATAGTCATCAAATGGAACTGTTTAATATTCAACAGGATTCAATGGAATTCCTAAAACATATCAAAAGTGACAATGTAATAGATGAGAATAATAAATTCGATTTAAAATGTTCACAAACTACACTGTATTCAACTGTTAGTGGAACTCTATGTGACGATACGGTCAAATTTAAGAGTGATTATTGGTGGGCAAATGTTCGTTCCGTGGTTCAATTTGGTAAAATCATCGAAACAATTCTCAGTGATTCACCAGTTACTCAAATTTATTTAGAAATATCACAATATCCTGTTTTGTGTACATCAATTCGAGAATGTATCGATCAATCCGAATACAAGTCAATTATAGTTTTACGTTCACTTAAACGTAAAGAAAATGAACAACAAACAATGTTGACATCGTTATGTGGTTTAACTTCGAATTTAAAGCAATTTTGGACAAGTCATTCATATTCAAAATTGTATGAAAAGATTCTCATAATACAAATATTCTAGGTTCTTTGCCACTGTACACATTCAATAACACTGTTTACTATTACGAATCACCTGAATCTTGTGTGGACCGTCGAAGTCAGCGGAAACAACATCATCCGCTATTAGGTACACGTTGATGAACTCGTCAAAAAAATCCAACATGGACAGTTATAATTGATGTTAATTTACCAAAATTTGCATATTTAATTGATCATTGAATACAAGAAAATATATTTATTCCAACATCTAGTTTTATAGAATTAGCTCTTGCAGCTGTCAAGCAATTTTATATATTATTATCTTCAACAGCAACATCACTCGCATTTGAAAACGTACAATTTTTACAACCATGTGTATTGAATAAAGATGAACCAACGGAAATTCATACACCAATTCAAATGCCATTTCAACATTTTTTTATTTATAGCCGTCGTTATCCTTCACCTAAAGATGTATCAAGCAAAAATGGTATATCAGTAACAGATATATTAAAAGATTATACCGATGAAGATGAATTAAATTTTTATTCATTAAAAGAATGAACATTGTATTCAGCTAGTTCTATTCAAATGAACTCTATTCATCTAATTCAATTAAAATCAGCGCACAATATTGAGAAACTTCAGCAAAATCTGTACGAAGCTCGTACTTGGTCAACTGAAAGTAATCAAGTACCTCAAATATACAAATATTTGTGGTCACGTGGTAGCAACTACGGACCATGTTTTCAACAGATAAAATCAGCGTATGGTACGAAATCTGCTATGATAACAGAACTCATTCAAGCTCAACAAGTACAACAAGAAAATGAGCAAATAGATCTCGTACAACAAAATGTTGAAGAAAAAGGTCTCAATCATCTGGAACAACAAAGTAATGATCAAAAAGACCTCAATCACCTCGGACAACAAAACGATGAGCAGATAGATCGTGATCGCATCAAACAAGAAAATGATCATCAGGCAGAAGTTAATAAAATCGAACAACACAATGATTATCAGATACAACTGATTCCCATTCAACATCAAGCAAACAGTGACCAATCAGGTCTTAATTACCTGAAACAACCACATGAATGTCAATATTTCCCACTGTATGTGATACATGTGTCCATAGTGGACTATTATTATTGCCACAAACTGAGGAAGCCATTGTGCCCGTGTCAATAGATGAGATCATTTTTCTCTCTGAAGACCAACAACAGAATTTATATACCTGTACGTGTTTTCATTTGTCCGTTCGTGGTATACCTTCTCACCATAAGCATTCAGCAGATGTATTAATATTTAATGAATAAAAACAATCGATCGCCATTTTCAAAGATCGAAGAATTAAAGTTTAGATCCTTATGTCAATCATATTTTGAAATGAAAGAGAGACTACAGTGCGTTCTTTGTCTGTATAAGATATGTTGTATTCAATATAGTCTGGTAAATATAAATGATCTGGACATAGTTCGGTGTGAATCCAAACTACTATCCATTTGAGAAAAAGTTGTCTGTAGATATTTTTCGAATAACTTTTGAACTAAAGAAGTTAGAGACTTCCGGTTTCGACAATCGAAAGAAGAGACCCAAAGGCGTCTTTTCACAAGTAAAACTAGTTCAAAATCGTTTTCCAAAGTGGTGTACTAGGAAGATATTCGAAAACTAAATACTTCTCCAAAACTCAAAGTGGCAATATAGTGTTTTCTTTACACGATGATAGCCTAAAGTGGTCTCTTCGAAATGGGAGCCAAACGAGATTTTGATTTTCAGTGATTCTGACGTAGTATGTGTTTCCCTTACAACCCTAGGACTGGTACCCGGTGACTTGGAAGGACCTTGAAATCGCATGGAACATACGTCATCAGCCACGCTGAGCCCGATAGACACGGTTGATTTTGTCACAAAATTCCAAAAGCTTGTGAAAACTGAGTTTTACGAAAACTAGAGTTGCTTTCACCTAATACTAAATAATCTCAATTCACTCAAAACACATCAGGACGAGTTGAAAACTTCAGCATATATTTAATTTTATCCGCTAAACGTGATTATAACGTCGAGAATTTTTGCTTGTTTTTATTCTCATTGTGCTGAACATTTTTTGCTCTTGAAACAATATTTCAGAATGCTTCCTTCGTGTGATTTATTTTTCAAGAACTACTTTTTCGATAAGTTTAAATTTAAACAGTAAAAAATCTAGGATTTATTTTGAAAAGCTAAACACTTCAGAATATATGTAATTGGACGTGTCTAATTATGCTAAAAGATGAATTTAGTTTTAAGTTTTTTAAAAACTGTTTTTCGATCCACTTATATAAGCTAAGTAAATACCTTTGTTCATTTTTAGATTCTATTTTCTATTTGTTTTTTGTATTGTGATACTCAAAAAAAAATCTAGCGAGTTTGAAGAAACATGTTGGTAGTGTGCTTTGTAGTTCTGACATCAGACAACTCATATCCGGAAATCGTTTGTTTAGGTGTTTCATTAAAAGATGTTAGAATGTCAGAAAACTAGGATAGTGTCTAGCAAATTTCAACATCTCTCTTTAACACTTTGAGAAATAAGTACTTAAAAACCTTGCAATAGAAAAGAAACGCTTATTGCTTCGAGAAATCTAACATTCATTCTGTAAGACTTCATATCAAAGATATGACGAGTGGCTAATATTGAATTTGCAAAAAAATTGCTTAATTTATAACTAGGGATGTTCGGTTCTCGGTTCTCGTTAAGAACCGGAACCGCGGTTCTCTTGCTTTCGGCTCTTCATCGGGAACCGAAACCGTGCTACCGGTTCTAAGAATGGAACCGGAACCGCGGTTCTTATTTTCGGTTCTTCGTCGGGAACCGGAATCACGGTTCTGTAGACGGTTCCTTTTTTTCGGAACCGAGACTTTTTTAACTATAGATACTACAGTTTTATTTCGAGAAAGCTATATTTAGCGTTCATAAGGTATACTTGTGTGCAACTTCTTTTACATGAGATCTTCTATACCTGGCAAACCCATCGATACTTCTTAGATAAGAGATAAAGCTAATATTATTATGTCGTGATACTGGCCATAACGGCACGAAAAAATCCTTTCTCAAGATTTCATTTCGTTTTTGAGATATTGCATTTTTCGTACATCTATCGGATTTCGTCTAAAATGACCCCCTAGAAAGTATGATAAAGTAATCATGATTCAACAAAGATAGAGATGTGTTATTCGAGAAAATGAGTGAACTGTTAACTTAATAGTTTGTCTGGTCTTAAAACTGTTAAGAACCGACGATAGAAAAGTACAGCATTGAAAGGAAAAGAACAACTGTGAACGGACGATCAAATTTGTATTTCTTTGTGAAGTGCAAAAACGACGGGCGAAACAATAATTCGTTCTTTTCTCTTCTGCCTTATCTTTTTGTCTTGCCTTTCTTATCATAAAATGAAAACACGCTATTGACAAAGCTGCAAAAAGATATATTTGCCTGTCATCATTTAAAAGAATCCTTTCGTTTACTATAAAATGAATCTTATTTCGAGAACCGCGGTTCTTTTTGTTTCGGTTCTAAGTCGAGAACCGGAACCGCGGTTCTTTTCGGTTCGGTTCTAACTCGAGAACCGGAACCACGGTATCGGTTCCAGAACCGAACATCCCTATTTATAACTCAGAAGAAAAATTAAACACATGTGGAACGACTATACTAAATCTTTCCGCAAGATTTTAGATGTCTGACTGGGCAAGGTAATGCAGTTGAGACATACCACTGTCAGAACTCTTTTGTAACCAATTTTTCTAAATTTTCCAGTTCTAATTTCAACTCTTTGAACACGAAATTTTTTAATTATTTTCTTGCTTTGGATTTACTTTAATTTGACCATAAATAGACAACCGTTCTCTTTTTAACCCTAATTCCGTTCTAAAAAGTCCTTGTCCATATTCTAAAATCGTATATTTTTTTTGTTTAGTTATCTCAATTTTACAAACAAAAACGCTAAATCTTTGATTAATACAGAGAAAATAAAATACAAAGAGATCCTTCAATAGACTAAAAAATAACGTGATATGTAGATAAAAATCATGAACTAAAATACAGATAGTTACAAAGTTGAACGACGAAGAAAAGGTCATCAAGAAACCTAGTAAAAAGTGGAATAAATGTTTAAAATTAAATTAATAGAATATATATACAAACAAAGTGGACACTGTTCTTATCGTGATTAAATAAAACAAAAATGACCGCTAAAAAAATCAACGCAAGTTGATTGTTTCTTTTTCTTCAATCTTGCTGATCGTCTCTTATCTTACCACCACTGTTACTTAAAATAATTCGATCTTTTTTACTGCGAGATGGTAATGTTGAAAATTCATCTGTAATATAAAAGAATTCAATTGTTTGTTATATCTTCTACGTATTTTTGTGTAAAAATACAAAAACTGCTAGAATTACTAGATAACCATCGTCTCAATAAATCACAAACAGTTGCACGTGAAAATGATTGTGCATCTGGTAATGATACTAGTATTGACGATTACGGAGCAGATGAATTTAATAACGGTTCTGATGACAATGATCACCTGGTATCAGCAATATTTGATAATATTGATAGATCCGCCAGTCATCTCGATCTACACGTTCTCTCTATTTTCTTCTTTTCTCTTGTTGTTTTTGTAATAGTTTATAAAATACAGGAAAAAACCATAAAAGATCTGTTTTACTCAATAAATGTTATTATATTCATGGCCGCAGTAAACACGTATTCCATAAGCGCCTATAGGCATTGCTTATACACACTAGGTGATGACGTGTCAGGCACCCTACTTTCGCTTTCTCACGAACTTCTGCCTTTCTCACAAGGGCCATGAACTTTTTCTGCCTGCTCATGACAAGCTTTCGCAAGCGCCTGAGCCAGCTTTGCACTAGAAACGTGTATCTCTAGTGGTTCACTGCTCCCATATATCATTATCTTGTTCCCACTAACAGTTACTGCACTTCCCTCCAAAAGAAAAACAGAGGTAACACCCGGAAGCCAAATGGAGTCTTCTGAGTGCAGAAATACTTTGAGAACTTCCCACGACCAAAGAAACCTGGAATTAACAGATTTGCCAATACTCATCGAGCCGACACCTTCTGAAACATGTTTCGCGTCTAACTGTCTCTCAGCCCAGAACCAACCGAGAACCTTTTCAACAGCTCTACCGGCCGCTTCTCTAACGCCATACTTACTATCCCCCAGCGTAGTCACGAGTCGATTGATCGCTTCACTAGTCGCTGCTTTTTCACCCATCTTCCCGAGAGCTTCACATGCATACAATCTGACCCACGAGTCTTCATGTCCAAGTGCAACCACGAGTTTCTGGATCCCTTCACTAGCCGCTGCTTTTTCACCCATCTTCCGAAGAGCGTTATATGCACCCCTTGTGACATTGCAGTTCTGATCCCCAAGTGCAACCACGAGCCGTTTGAGCACCTCATTAGTCGCTGCTTTTTCACCCACATTCCAGAGAGCTTCACATGCCCTCCTTCTTACATTCGAGTCCTCATCCCCAAGTGCAATCATGAGCCGTTTGAGCACCTCACTAGTCGCTGCTCTCTCACCCATCTTCCCGAGAGCTTCACATACATACAATCCGACATTCGAGTCCTCATCTCCAAGTGCAACCACGAGTCGTTTCAGAACCTCACTAGTCGCTGCTCTCTCACCCATCTTCCCGAGAGCTT